ACGGTTTATATAGATATATATATATATATATATATATATATATATATATATATATATATATATGATATCCATTCCAGGTATAAAAAGTGTACAAACACAAGTGTAGTCAGGAGCTTTGTTGGGTTTTCACGCTCCACACGTTGCTTGAAGAACTCAAGTTGACACACTTGTGAAATTGGCTTCCAGATTCGCTCTCACTGATGGAAGGGAAACACCACCGTGACAGAACAAGCTTCACGAATATTCAAACATATGGCACGACAGACCGAAATAATCATCAGTGTTCTCCTGCATTTCCCCCATGGCATTTTCAAGAGGCCGTTATAACTGAACATGGGGACTTTCTTTATGGATGTTTATGGAATATGACACTTGAGAATAACAGTCCTCATGTGAGCCATATGCGGGTTCTGCTCTAGTTGGTTAGTAGTAATGTGTGTAATGAGTTTTGCGCTGGGCATATGGACAGGAACGAGGTGGACGTTTTGACCTTGTAAAACGAACCAAGGAAAATTTTATATATTTATTTTCTGAAAAACATAAAAATCCTCTCTTTATTTACTCACCCTCATTTCATTCCAAACCCTACCATTTTTCGTCTGTGGAACACAAAAGGGGAAATACATAAGAATTGATTTGTTGCAAGAGTGGGAACCAATGATGTGCGACATGATGTCAAATCTGGTTCAACTCATCTAGAAGACACGAGGGAGTAAATGATGTTGAAATGTTACTTTTTGAACTGAATTTTGAACCTTTAAATTGCATTGCTGCAATGGACTGTGTAACCATGTGTATTCTTGAGACAGAAACAATTCATTTTATTGTATTATTTAAAATTTTGCTTATTTATTTTCGAGACCATTTTAAATAATGGCTCAAATATATACACACAAAAGATTATTTTTTTTTTTTTTAGAAGTCCCTTATTCTGCATTTATTTGATAAAAAATACAGTAAAAACAGCAATATTGTGAAGTATTTTTACAATAATAAAAAAAAAAGTTTTCCATTTTAATAATATTTATGTGATAAATATTTGTGTCTTCAGTGTCACACGATCCTTCACGAATCATTCTAATATGCTGATTTGAAACATTCCTTATCATAATTAATGTCAAAAATGGTTGTGCTGCTTAATAATTTTGTCAAAACTGTGATTTTTTTTTTTTTCAGGATTCTTTGATAAATAGAAAGTCCAAAAGAACAGAATTTATTTGAAAAACATCATAAATCATAATTGTCACTTTTGATCAATTTAATGCATCCTTGCTGAATAAAGGTATTAATATGTATATAATAATAATAACTCATAAAAAATAACAAGTGAAGTATTAATAATAATAGTATAATAATAATGATGATGATAATAATAATAATAATAATAATAATAATAAAGTATACTAAAGAATAACAACAACAACAATAATAATAATAATAATAATAATAAATAAATAAACATCATTGGGGTAAAAAGTCAGTCTCAAAAGAATATTAGAAATAAAGACATTGTCTTTTTTATTTGTTATTTCTTTGATTCTTGTATTCCTCTAATCCTGTTTATTGGATGTTTGTATCTCTAAGAGTCTGTTTGCTGGTCTTCAGGCGACAGGAGTGAATCCAGAGCAGCTGTTGGTCACTGTGTTGCCTGGACTGCCAACAGCGGCCGAGTTCTTCCTGTTACCAGACAAACAGCTGACAGAGGGGAAACCAGACAAAACAGCCACCCATTTAGACCAGGTACATTATGCATGATTTTCAATCTCAGTAGTGAAACACTCAGCTATAATTAATGTTTTGCTTTACCTTTGTCTCGTATTCAGAAGAAAAGGCACAGATATTCAAATACCATTTTCAGTCCTCCTTTCAAATACAAAAGGATGGTGGGTAAAAGGAGCATCTTGACAAGAGCTTCTTATGGTCTCCAGCAGATGTCAATGTTGGCCTATTTAACTCTTGATAAAAAACAGTTTTTACTAGTCCACAGAGATTGTTCTTGATCAGAAAGTCTCTAATGTTCTCCTGAAATGAAATACTAGGTTATGAGACAAGCACATAAATACACTTTCATAAGCAACTTCAGAAAGTATCAGAAAAAGTGGCTTTCTGATTAGATGTCAGAGCTTAATGAGATACATTTCTTATAACTCACTTGTGAGGTCATGGGTAATTCTGGCCATACTGCAGTATATTTGGCCATAACAGAGAACAGCCATTATCGAATATGAGAAGATGGCTCATATCCTCCAATATTAACATGCAGAGTCATCTGTATTTTTGAGGCAGTGGTTTCTCACCACTATAGAGGAGGTCATAAGTAATCCATCCACTAGATCGTTTATGGGCCAGAGATATATCACAGATGATAGGGGGATATCTGCACTTTGTGGATGTCCATGCATGGGTGCCTAAGCAGCACCTTTTCTGTTTTTTGTTTTTTTCCTCGCCCAAACCTAGCTTGAATCTGCAATGGACCTTTCACTGCAGATCCTCATAAATCTCAATTCAAGGGTGGCGTGTTCAAAGTATAATGTGTAAATAGCCTTATTAAAAAAGTATAATAGACTGACTGACCCTGGTACAATTCATAAAGAAAGTAATTATTCATGGAATGGTCTAATTTTAAAAGGGTGAGAAATAAGGAGAGAGAGAGACAGAAGGTGAGAGCGATGAAGAAATAAAGGAAAGCAGAAATAAGTCAGGAGTCATTTAGTAAATGAGGCAGATTTAATGAAGCTTGGGTAGAAAGAGGGGAAAAAAAGGGATTCTTTGAACAGGAAGTATATGTATGTGAAGTTTAGTACTATCATCGCTGAACTCCGATCTGATGCTCAAGATGAAGCTTAAGAGTTGTTTGTGAAAAACAAAAAAAGAAAGAAAAAAACAGTCACCTTTAACAGTGACTAAATTATGTCTACATCTCAATGAGCTAATATGCTGTAGTTTTATACTTAGTATTTTTTCTAAAACTAATAAAATATAATTCTATAATATAATTAATTAATTATATTGTTCTTAAATCTAGTTCTCCTTGAACTGTTAACATCATATTTATTATAATCGTAATAAACGAATCCATCATCCAAAAAAAAGAAAAAACAGCAACTCTTTAATAATAAAGTTAGCACCGTTTCAGAAAGTGCGCTCTTCAACAAAGAGTTAGAGTTCAAAAACCTTTTTTTATTTATCAATTGATTTTTTTTTTCTTTATTAATAAAATTATCACAATTTCAGAAAGTGCACATTTCAAAGGAAATTTTTATTTTATTTTATTTTATTTTATTTTATTTTGCTGTCTTTGTCAGTAAGCAAAGATATTTCATTCCTGTGAGTCCTTTTACAATGATTGTATGAAAAACAGATAATTATTGAAAAAATATTTCTATACATTTAGGCATAAAATAAAGTTGAGAAGCACATTGTATTTTATTGAAAATGTATTTCTATAAATTTAGGCATAAAATAAAGGTGAGAAGTACATTGTATTTTATGACTTTATGAACAAGTCTTGTCAATGGCAAATTAAACTGTCAGTCTTTTTACCATAAACCGTGTCACCTTTCTGTAGGCATAATTATACCCTGACCCATATTAAATTATATTAATTTAAGATGAAATGTCGCAGTGCCATTTATTAACACTGAAACACACTCTCTGACAGAGAGAAAAAACAAAACAAAAAGTACTTTAAAAATGATCAATCTGGAAGCACCTGTTCCAGAATGACCCTTAAATACATGATCTGCCATAATCGAGCACAAAAACAAACAAGGCTTTATTTGGGGAGGGAAATGGCTATCTGCTTTCAAGATTTATGCATACATAAAAGCGCCTGACAGTCAAGGGTGCTGTGTGTGTTTGAGAGAGAGGAGAGAGATGTTAGACCTAAATGAGGTCCCCCTCCTATGTCATATATCTGTATTTGTGAGTGAAGGTGATAGAGTTGATTTATGCTGAAACGTCTTCTCAGTGTGGTACAGGCTCACGTACGACAAACAACATCCCGAGCCCACGCTTTGCCTCAATGCATCAGCACTCACCAGGCTCAGAACCAGGGAAATCAAATACCTACGGGACACGAATGTCTTATTTTTTTTTGTGACTGCTTATGTAATTTAATTTAACAGATTTGGATGCATCATATGCAAGGCAGTGTTTTCTCATCCAGTGTAGTATGAATATGATGAATGTGTGATTTTGCTTTCAGCTCTCAGAACTGGTTCTCAGAGCTCTGAATCAGAATCTGGTTCAGTTCACACTCAGACCAGGAGTCCAGATCACAGTATACGCTGCCCATTTATCAGCAGGTAATGAACTAGAATCAAACACTGTTCTTCTGGATATCAACGAGAGGAGGCTTGCAGATGATTTATAATGACAGAATTATAATTTTTAGATGAACAGTTCCCATATGACATTGATTGCATAATGAACTCTTTTCTATAAAGATTGAGGGATTTTAATTTTAGAGATGTGTGACGGTTTATTAATAGGAGGGCTGGAATCGTGCCAGACTGTGTGCTCTGTTAACAGTTGCCTGTTTTATTTTCCTCTGCATCTAGCGCCTCTAGTGGACACAAGTGAGAATCACAGCGGCTCAGCTATGCTCATGCTCCTCTCTGTGGTGGTGGTGGGTTTAGCCGTGTTCCTCATCTATAAATTCAAAAGGTATTGTCATCCCTTTTTAAAACTTCAACCTGGATCATAATCTATTTATTATCAGTTCAAAATATGGTTAGCTTTCTAAATTGGTTAAATGTCTAGTAGCAAGAGTCTGGGGAAGCCTGAAAGATTACAAGTTATTTATGAAGTAGTCAAGACTCTGTACTGTCTGTTACTATCAAAAAACTACCTAACTACATTGGAGATTATTATTATTTTAATATGGATTAATGTATATTTTTAAAAGGCATAGTTCACCAAAAACTAAAAATTATCTTATATTTTAGGTACGCTCATGTCATTCCAAGCCAGTATACCTACGGGACACGAATGTCTTATTTCTTTTTGTGACTGCTTATGTAATTTAATTTAACAGATTTGGATGCATCATATGCAAGGCAGTGTTTTCTCATCCAGTGTGGTATGAATATGATGAATGTGTGATTTTGCTTTCAGCTCTCAGAACTGGTTCTCAGCGCTCTGAATCAGAATCTGGTTCAGTTCACACTCAGACCAGGAGTCCAGATCACAGTATACGCTGCCCATTTATCAGCAGGTAATGAACTAGAATCAAACACTGTTCTTCTGGATATCAACGAGAGGAGGCTTGCAGATGATTTATAATGACAGAATTATAATTTTTAGATGAACAGTTCCCATATGACATTGATTGCATAATGAACTCTTTTCTATAAAGATTGAGGGATTTTAATTTTAGAGATGTGTGACGGTTTATTAATAGGAGGGCTGGAATCGTGCCAGACTGTGTGCACTGACAACAGTTGCCTGTTTTATTTTCCTCTGCATCTAGCGCCTCTAGTGGACACAAGTGAGAATCACAGCGGCTCAGCTATGCTCATGCTCCTCTCTGTGGTGGTGGTGGGTTTAGCCGTGTTCCTCATCTATAAATTCAAAAGGTATTGTCATCCCTTTTTAAAACTTCAACCTGGATCATAATCTATTTATTATCAGTTCAAAATATGGTTAGCTTTCTAAATTGGTTAAATGTCTAGTAGCAAGAGTCTGGGGAAGCCTGAAAGATTACAAGTTATTTATGAAGTAGTCAAGACTCTGTACTGTCTGTTACTATCAAAAAACTACCTAACTACATTGGAGATTATTATTATTTTAATATGGATTAATGTATATTTTTAAAAGGCATAGTTCACCAAAAACTAAAAATTATCTTATATTTTAGGTACGCTCATGTCATTCCAAGCCAGTATGAGTTTTTTCTTCTGTCAAGCACAAAAGAAGATATTCTGAATAATGTTGATGGTACCCATTGACTTCCATAGTATTTTTTTCCCCCATACTATGAAAGTCAATGGCTACCGTCAATAGTTTGGTTGCCAACATTCTTCAAAATATCTTATTTTGTGCTGAACAGAAGAAAAAATCTCATACAGGTTTGGAACAACTTGAGGGTGAATAAATGATGACAGATCTTTCATTTTTGGGTGAACTATTCCTTTAAATATACACTACCAGTCAAAAGTTTTTGAACAATATATATACAGTATATTTTTTAAAGAAGTCTCTTCTGCTCACCAATCCTGCATTTATTTGATCCAAATTACAGCAAAAACGGTAACATTTTTATTTTTTTTTGTTTTACTATTTAAAATAACTATTCTATTTGAATATATTTTAAAATGTAATTTATTCCTATGATTTCAAAGCTGAATTTTTAGCATCATTACTCCAGTCACAGGATCCTTCAGAAATCATTCTAATATTCTGATTTGCTGCTCAAAAAACATTTATTATTATTATTATTATTATTATTATTATTAATATGTTTTTCAGGTTTCTTTGATGAATAGAAAGTTCAGAAGAACAGCATTGATCTGAAATAGAAATATTTTGTAACATTATAAATAGGGGTGGAACAGTTCTCGGTTAAAAAAAATAATAAAATCTAACCATACAGTTCTCCACACACGGTTGTTCAAAGCATGTTGACTGGTAGTGTATAATTACGATATTATATTATTAATTGATTTTTCTTTTTTATTATTAATTTTGTTAGAATTAAACAGCATTATTTAACTGAATATAATCTGTTTTAATTTTTTTGTAATTAATTTTCTAATTAATGTAATAATAAATATTATCAATTATTTTGAATATTGTTATAAAAAAGCAGAGCAGATGTCTGCGTAAGGACTCAAATGAGGCAAAATCATTCTTGTTCTCTCAGATCTCCAAGTTGTGGCTCAGTTTAGCTCACAAAACAGCTTAAAACAACGTAAAGCACAGAGCAGATATCTTGAGTGGTGATTCACCCTTTCGCTGTTGCAGAACCTTCTTTTTTTTTTTTTTTTTAAGCGCTCATAACAAATCAGAAATGTCAGTCAATGCACAGACATTATCAATATTTAGCCCTTTGAGTTTTTCAAGTTGACCTTTATGAAATGTTAAATGATTGCACCATTTCCATCACTGGACAGAGAGAAAAGGGCATGAGAGGTCAATAAGACAAGATCTGGAGACAACAGAAGTGGCAAGAATTTTCCAGCGCTTTAATACATAACAGTCTGGCTTTCGGTGACGCTACAGCTGGCAACTTTTCACTTATTGAAGGAACAGGAAGAACTTCCTGTTAAAACCATATATCTTATTTTATATAGACATATTTTATATAGATTTTATATAAATATATCTTTTCAATGAATCAGTTCACAAAAACAGTTTGAATGATTCATTTATGAGTTGTAAACTCAATTCTCAGAAGATCAGTGAATAACGGCCTAAATATAGAACACCAGTGGTATGGACTACTTTTATGGTGCATTTTTATCGTTTTTGAAAGCCTCATGTCCCATGGGGACTAATTGCAGTTGCAGTACAGTAAACTCTGAAGAAAAGCATCTGCCAAATGCATGTAAATGGGTTTAGAGCGACATGAGTGTGAGCAAATGGTAACAGAATTTCTGTTTCTTTTTGTGAACCGGCCCTTTAATGAGGGTGTTAGATCACATTTTAATGAGCTGCCCGTTTGTGTTGTTTTCTTTTTGCTAAATCCCTCTCCAGTTGTATTTTAGCACAATAGATTTGCTTTTGAATCCTCTTGTTAAGGTTTTTGCTTATGTGGCTTTCTCCCTCCGTAATGATGCAGACCAAAATGGATAAAATCACCTCTCTAAAGGGAGGCCTTGATTTATTAACTCCTAAGTGAGACTTTTCACATAGAGGTCTTTTTTTTCTTATTCCTATGTCCTTTTAGATCCCAGACCTCGCCTTGTAAACGGACTGTAACACTACTCACAAACTATAAACACATGCTTCCAGTGATAAATGAACAGAATGACATAAACGGCAAAGCTGATAATGTCAGGGCCATCAGAAAGTTCGGAAAAAGAGCGGAAGCGCACATTACGAACCTTATCAGCTTGGCTCATGAATATTAATTAGGTAACGTTTGGCCAGCAGTCCTTGCTGAAAGATAAGTGTCTGCTAGTCACTGTAGATGACCATTTACCACTAGCTTGTTTGTCTTATCTTGGTTTAAAAAATGCCTTAAAATGCATAAAGAATATATAAGATTATGTATTTTTAGTTTTTTTTTTTTTAAATACTAAAAAAAATTGTTTTTGTGTGTGTTCACCAAGGTTGCATTTCTTTTATAAAAAGGTACTGTAAAAACAGTAATATTGTGATATACTACTACAATTTAAAATAACTAAATATATTTTAAAATGCCATTTATTTTGTGATCAAAGCTGAATTTTCAGCATCATTACTCCAGTCTAAAGTGTCACATGATCCTTCAGAAATAATTATAATATGCTGGTTTGCTGCTCAAAAGCATTTTGCATTATTAAAAATGTTGAAAACAGTTATGCTGCTAAATATGCTGTGAAAAAAACAATGGATTCTTGATGAATAGAAGGTTAAAAAGAACATAATTTATTTTAAATATAAATCTTTTGTAACAAATTTAATTAGTCTATTTTGATCTCAATTTAATTTGATGAATAAAAATAATAATTAAAAAAATCCTACTGATCCTAAACTTTTGAAAGATTAAGTTAGTTGAAACTTGTAACTTATGATTATTTCCTAAAAATCGAAAAGATATCTTCTAAAAGTTTAGGAGACTTTTCCCCTTCAGTTATTATTATTGCTTAACACTTGACAATATTGATTTGTTTTTTCTCCCGTCACCCCGTTTCCCTCTGGCTGATTCCCCAAGCATGTCTCGTAGCATCAAGCTTTGTTTGCCCATGTCTCATTGTAAATCTTTCCTCAAGGAAGATCCCAGGCCTCCACGTCTATGCAGCGATGCAGGACGAAAAAGAGCAAGAAATGATCCAGAGTCCAGTTTCTCCCACTGACAGCACACCCAGCTGCAGTTCTCAGAGAGAACTGCTCACATCACTGGAGCCTCTGGACACAGAGCCCAACACCCAGACCATCGGTGAGTACTACACTGTCCATTCAACACTGAAGCGCTTCTTCTACTGAACTCACAGCTGTGATTCTTGGGAACAGCTGACACACTTTACCTGTCACTCATCTCAGTCGTGGCGTGTTATCCCACTTCCTGTAAATGGCTTCAACAGTTTTTGTTGGTGAAGAGGGCCTTGTTGATTGCAGGGAAAAGCACTGGTTGCTCGACTTCTTGATGCCTATAAATAAATCAACAGAACAGCACGTCATGATGTATTTCAGCTTTCTAGGCTGCTGTGGGATTCACTGATACACTCATATAAGCCTGTTTGACATTTGGAAAGAAGACAATATATTGATAAAGAAAGGATAGTAAGAAAGAATGTACCTCTCTAGACTGACAGAATGGAGTGTTTCTCAGAAATAGCCTAGAAAAAATGAAAAAAAAAAAAATATATATATATATATATGTATACAATATAATTTTGCATATATTTTTGAAAAGTTATAGCTAAATTATATAATGTATTATATATAACATTTTACCAATCATATCATTTAAAATGACATGGTGATAAAAAATGGAACAGTAAAGAAATAAAAAAGAAATAAATGAAACAGTAAAAATATTAATATACTGTTAATATATTAAACATATTTAAAAAATATTAAACATAATTTAATTATTTAATAATAATAATTCAAAAATAATGGTACTTAAAATAAAATTCAAGATAGATATATAGACAGATTTATAAAATACATATTATAGATATAACACTAACACATACATACATATAACACTTTATGTTATATTGATTTTATTATGTTTATATTGAAAATATTGATTTATTTTTTTTCTCCCGTCACCCCGTTTCCCTCTGGCTGATTCCCCAAGCATGTCTTGTAGCATCAAGCTTTGTTTGCCCATGTCTCATTGTAAATCTTTCCTCATATATATATATATTAGTGCTGGTCAACGATTAAAATTTTTAATCGCGATTAATCACATGATTGTCTGTGATTAATCGCAATTAATCGCATTGTTATGCCCAAAATTCAATAATGCATTCAAAAGTAGTGTATTGTGCACTTTTTCATTTAAAAGTACTGCTATATTAACAAAAGTGCAATAACATTTGGTTTGCAAACACTTTAAACAAATAAGGTGCTTTTTTTACAGCAGTATTCTTTTTACATAGTAGCAGTTAAAATATTTATTGTAAATCTCAATTTATAACATTAATGTAATCAAATTACATATAAAACAAGCTATTTGCCACTGCCAAGGCAGTAACGTTTTTATAGAAAATATTTTATAGTTTGTTATAGAAAAACAAGTTATGTTCAGAGTCCAGAGCCTCGATCATAACATTATAACAGGCACCTTCCAAGTAGAGACCTGCACGATCGCTGGACCCAACGTAACAGAGAGTGGCGCGGGACATCACTTGATGGGCGAGTGCGGGTGCGGGCGGGTAGAGACTCGTGTGTGTGGGATGCACATAAGGGTGTCCTCACACTAGGCAATCTTAACCGGTTAACCGATAACTGTTTGACCACCAAAGCACGGTTCGTTTGACTAGTGTGATCGCTCCGTGGGTTCGTTTTAGGGCTGGTCGATAAATCGATAACGATAATTATCGTGCGATATAAATTTCATCGATAAACGATAACAAGAGGTCGATAAATTTTCGATATAATGTTTATGAGGCAAAGGTGGAACGAAAAAGTGTAACTCATTTGAAGCGCGTCACTCGGACCGTTTATCCGCTCAGATCAAATTTGAAACGGCGGCGTGGCGCGAGCTTCACTAGAGCAGATGCGTTCACTCGCTGATGAGTCTCGATCAAACAGTGCTGTGAGATCCAGTGTGAAGCGCTTGCATTCAGCGAAGAACACAAATAACTGTTTACAGCCAGATGAAACAGTGCTGAGTCTGACAAACAGGAGAAACACTGTGCGCAACGATACAGTTAGAAGACTTTTTAATCTACAAATTGCCGTTTACCATAGATTTACTGTAGTAGCACTAACTGCACCATTATATTGTTTTAGAAATGTAGGTATTTGTGTCAAATTTATATTATTAATTTTGACATGTTTTAAATGTATTGAAGGAGGAGTAATGGAATATAATTACAGTATTTTTTTTAGTTTTGTGTGATTAAGATATAGCGTTTATGCATTTATACTAAATTTATTTAGACTAGCTACTGTTTTTCATACAAATACCTAAAAACCATATTACATTTTTACCATGGTATTGAGGTGCTATATTTGTGGTTTTAACTGTGATTATCATGATCTAAATGTATGCTACTATGGAAGACCAGTGGTTAATTAAAAAATATATAATTCTCAAACAGTCAGAATAATTAAATTTCACCATATAAAAATGAGGTTGCTACAATACTTACAGATATTATTGATTTTGATAATGAAAAAATCTACATTTGCATCCTAACTTAAGCTATTAAACTATTAAATGTGTATTTCTAAGAGAAATGTTATATTATTATTAATATTATCAGGCAACACAAACCTGTTTCTTGATTTGAAACAATATTATTCGTTAGAACGTGCAGAACTAAGAAATTATTTTTATTTTTTATTATTTATAGAAGATATTTATTTTAAGTAAAAATGAAAGTGTAAAGAATTCAAAAACATGAATTGTTTGTCATGTTCTGACCATAAAGAATAGTTTAAAACCACAATCAACTGTCTGGTTTTTACAACTTTCACACTGAAGCAAAAATCTGCCTTTAAACTTGAAAAAAAAAAAAATTTGACATTTATCGTGATAATTATCGATATCGACTGATATGAAAAAATTATCGTGATGATTTTTTTTGGCCATATCGCCCAGCCCTAGTTCATTTAGCCGGCCCTGGCTCGGTTGGAAGAGGTGGGCCAGAGCACGGTTCAGTTGGGCTCAGGCGCGGTACGCATGTAGTGTGAGCGGAGCGCTAACCGCGCTGGAGCGCAGATCTTCTGATACGTGTGCAGCATGATTGTGTTAACATTTCTGAGCTGCAAAAGTGATAGATCTGTAAAGCGATATATTGTGAGAGGGCCCTCAGGCGCGGTACGCATGTAGTGGGAGCGGAGCGCTAACCGCGCTGGAGCGCAGATCTTCTGATACGTGTGCAGCATGATTGTGTTAACATTTCTGAGCTGCAAAAGTGATAGATCTGTAAAGCGATATATTGTGAGAGGGCCGTGTGACACCACATCCCAAACGAATCAAAATAATAAACCACAAAGTTAGCAAAACGATGAACTCCACTGTGCTGTGCTAGAGCGCTTCTCTGCTGTCTTCACGTGCTATCGGAAACGTCCTATTTCCCACTTATGAAGTCGTGATTATGAGCACGTTGCATTCTTTTCTGTCAAAAATAACAGCGAACAGTGGTTTGTGAATGTTGACTCTTAGCCTAAATAATTTGATCATGAGCGTTCATGTGAGCGCTGCTGCAGTCTTAGGCCCACCCCAAATGCTCTCATTGGTTGAGACGCGTGATGACACCCACCTCAAGCCAGTACTGAATCTGATCAACATCCCACCCCTCCTGTGACCCATGGTTTGTCTGTGTGTGTATTCAGAGCCAGTGAGCAACGGACTTTCATAATAATAAAAAACTGCGTTAATGCGTCATAAAATAATTGCCGGCGTTAATCAATTAATGTGTTAACGCGATAATAATGCGTTAACTTGCCCAGCTCTAATATATATATATATTTATTATTGTATAATATATATATTTTTTCTTGAATTTAATTTTAAAGTTGTGCAGAAGAGTTAAGGTTCTGGAACAGAATAAATTATGATTTATTTTTTATTGTCATTTTGTCTCTTTGTATTTCCCAGAATGCATCAAACCTCATCCACGTGTCAAATTCTCATCAGATCTTCCTACATACATTGACGTTTGAACTCTAGCCTCCGCCATGTCAAGGACTTTGGTCATGCGGACACAAAGGTTTCAAGCTTTATTCAGTACTTGTGCACACATTTAAATGTCTTTGACCCATGTGTTATATGTGCATTATATATATATATATAAGGGCTGTCAATCGATTACAATTTTTAATCTAATTAATCGCACCCTTTTTCTGTGATTAATCGCGATTAATCGCACACTTCATGAAATTAAGCATAGACCATTTATCTTGTTTCAACACAGCAACATAAACATGACAAATCAAAACATTATCGTGAATGTGTGTGGAAAAAACGTGAATGTACGGAAATGTCTGTGCATAAATACAATGTGCGATCAGTGCGTCAAGAACACTCATACACGCATTAACAGACTCAACACGTGCTTACTGTACTGTACGACTCCTGTACGCCACCGCAATCATCTTTACCTTGATTGCGGTCTTCATCCATCAAATACAGGATAACATATTCATCCTTCATAACGTATATCATATATATATGATTTTAAAATTGTGCATTTGAGTTAAGGTTCTGGAACAGAATAAGTAGTGATTTATATTTCTTTGTCATTTTGTCTCTTCGCATTTCCCAGAATGCATCAATCCTCATCCACGTGTCAAATTCTCATCAGATCTTCCTACATACATCGACGTTTGAACTCTAGCCTCCGCCATGTCAAGGACTTTGGTCATGCGGACACAAAGGTTTCAAGCTTTATTCAGTACTTGTGCACGTTGGACATTAACTTTACTGTGCTCTGTGAATACTAGAACAAACTTTGTACAGCTTTTTTATACATCTGTGTATTCAATAAAACATTTTTGATGCTGTTCATTTCTAAAGATGCCAGTGTGTACAAAGTCTGAGGGAAAGGCCAGCATGAAGGGTGGAAAAAAAGACAATTATTCTTGGTTACCTGTCTGTTTATTTTTATCGCGAACAGTGGCAGTACAACATGGATATGTGACATTTTGGAAGTGTTTTAATAATAAAATGTAAAGTTATTAATTATTATTGTAAAATGAAACACATTTTCTGGGTTTCATTTTGTATAGCTAGCACATCTGTACTTTACATGTAACAGAAATGTAGATTTTACCACAAATTTTATGGGTTTCATGCCTTTATTCATGAAACAGGGTTAATGTTGAAGCTTGTTTATCTTGTTTTGCTTCTCTGCAATATCAAAGTATTTTTTTCTTAGTAAAATTAATTCTGTGTTTCTATGTAGAAATAACTGACTGTTGGTTTACAGATCAATCAGTGTCAAGATATGCTGTGTAAACCGACTTGATGTTCTTGAGACATCATGGCCAAGCAGAAGATGATAATCATATACTGTGTCTAGTGTTTCATAAACAATTTAGTATGGAATCATTTATGTGCACTCACAGAGAGTTACATGATTTATGCTTTCATTTTGCTTATTTGTCATTTTTTTTGTGCATTTAAATTCAGTCATGACATACCAAAAGTGAACTGTACAGGCTGACGGATATGAATGTATGAATGTGCAAGTACATAATGAAATATTTAAGACTTTTTTTTTTTTACTTCCCCTCTTTACATATTAGCAGTATAAAATCACAGGGAAGATATGATCAGTTGATGAATTAACTGATACTAAATAATCAGAAATCAAAATAATGTGTGTCACGTATGGAAGTCAGTATACAGACCTTCATCCACTAGCATATAGCCACTATTCAATAACTATAATAATTGAAATATAATATTTCATATATAATATTAATTTGATGGCTTCAGCTACTCAAAAATTGCCAACAATTCACGGCACAAAACACATTGTTGGCACAAACCATGTTTATATGAACCTGCATTTCATGTCAACATATTTTATTTTATTTTTAAATAAAAACATAAAAATAATCAAATGTAATTTAATAATAAAATAAAACTATTTTATTTCATTTTTATTTTATTTTTTTTATTAGTTTTTTACATTTTAATTAAATTAATTTTAAAATTCAATTTTATTTTATTTAAATTACATTTTAATTTAATTTTATTTTACCTTTAAATCAATTTTTATTAAATTTGTATGTAATTTTATGTAGTTTTATTTTTAAATAAAATTGTATTTAATATTCATTTTATTTTTAAATTACATTTAATTACATTTTTATTTAAATTTTAATTAAATTAATTTTCAAATTAAATTGTATTTAATTTTATTTAAATTACATTTTAATTTTATTTTACGCTTATATATTTTTATGTCATTTTATTTTTAAATTACATTTTATTTAATATTCATTTTATTTTTAAATTACATTTTATTACATTTTTTTTTTTTAAATGACAATTTAATTTAATATAATATGGTTAATTTGGATGGTCAAATGACACTTAATTTACAATTTGTGCCAAAATAGTTTGCATGGACGTATGTCAACAACTAAATTAATTCGACACCATTATGTTTAGTACAATAGAGACCATTTTTGGCATGTCCTTCTGTTTATTAAAATGGTGCTGTTACATACAGCAGAGAACATGCTCCTCGTCATCTTTATGTCACACTCAATACTGATATTCTTTTTCTTATATCTATGGACTATTTGCTTCCCAATTCTGCTCTTCTTTCATTACGATTTATTTTAAATAGCAAGGTTATATTACAGCTATTGTCAGTCTTTCCATTCTCATACACCAATGAATGTAAATGGAGGTCATCTTTATTACAGAATTGTCAGGATATTGAAAACAGCATGTCTAAAAGGGAAATTTTAATGGCTAATTTTATTTCAATTGTCCTTGTCTGTCACCTTTTGTACGCTGCGTATAAATATCATGTCACAGCAGTAGAGGATGTTCATACTGAGACAATTCACTATGGACTTGACACAATCACAGTACAGATTATATTTTCATAATATCACGCGCTGCGGTCTGACGCTGTCTTTAGCATATGAGACGATGGCTGACAAGACTCTCAAGTAATGAGTTGAAAGTGTCAATCAAATTAGTGAAGGGCATTGTGGGCAAGGGAGGGGCTATTTAAAGGAACAATAGCAATATCATTGAATTGTTTCTGCTGAAAGGCCGGAAAAAAACAACAACATATATGATAGAATCAGTGTTTGAAGATCCAGATCTAAAAATGACATTACTTAAAACCTGGTGGCTGAAGATAAATACATTGTAATTATTAAACGGAGTTGTACATTCAGATTTAAACCACTGGCTACAAAACAAGACACTTTATGAGCTTTGAATGGACAAACTGTGGCAGCCAGGAAATCAAAATCCAGCGCTGCCACTTCTCTCTTAAGAGTAAGGAAGATTATTTTTGTAGAAGACGAGTTTTATTACTGTAAAGATTTTATATATATAAATATATAAAAGTTTTAGGTGTGTAATGTTTTGTTTCTTTATTTTTTAACCGACCTGGACCTTTCTCCCTAGCACCCACCTCACTAATAAATAGTGTATTAATAGGGTATTTCTTAAGATATCCTTGTCGTGTGATTCTTCACCCCGTTACAATCTATATATATTCTATACTAGACACTTGCATCTTCTCTCTCTCTCGTTCTCTCTCAAAAGAGCATTTCAAAGCAGCATTTAATTAAAATGGACAATGTAAATGTATTTACTATCACTTCTAATCTATTTAATGCAATGGAAGTATTCATTTCTATAATAATAACAACAACAACAACAATATTAATAATAATAATATTTGTGTTTTTTTTTTTTTTAACCAAATCTTGGATTCAGTCATTTTATCAACTTCCTTGTTGAAGGGCTCATTGATCTGAGCTTATGCTTTTTTTTTTTAAATAAACAAACAAAAACTGTGGATATTTTTGCAATATTCCAAAAAAAAATAAAAAGTCTTAACTATATAACAAGTATATAACAAGTATTAACTTAATGTAACAAACTAAGTATTAACAATAACAAGTATATGAAAGTATATACAAGTATTTGAAAATGGTAGTGTTCTAGCGAAACAGAAGCCCACAACATGCTAGTCATAAAATTATTTCTTCGGCCACTTCCGGAGAAAAAAGAATGTGAGAAAGGAGGAGAAATGAGCAGCCATTAGCAATGAATGGCTTCATGACAGCGCAGCTACAGAGACAGAGTGAAGGAGTTAACTGGAAGGCACATGAGACTGCAGATTAAGGAGCAATCAATGCTGCCAGGGGCCCCGGCTCTGCTGACATCTCAAGGTAACTTTCAATGGCGCCCAGGGAACTGTAAGTATGAGTGTGTTTGTACGTGTGCCTGTTAAGCAATTGGAGTCAAGGGCACAGCTAATTCAAGCCTAATGAAACATTTAGATTTTCTCCATAAAAAATCATGCCCTCATGATAAAGTATCAGGTGACCAGCGTACCTCTTGTGTACAAATGAAAGTTTATCAGAGGCCTGTCTCCACCAGGATAATAACCAGCTCAATCCGCTCCCTGTGGGTTCGCACTGTAGTTACTCCAAGGACATTAGACGCAATCTTGCTCTGATGACACGTGTGCCTACAGCAAACAGTGTCCACCGCTGGCATCTCGGCTAGCAGCTAGCAGACTCACCACATTTAATTACCTTTGGAAAGAAAGACCAGCGGGAGAGAGAGAGAAACACACACACACACACACACATAAACCAAAGGGGAAACTGTATTAGTAATTCATTTCATACTCCTGTTAAAATCCAAACAATGTAATACATATGAAAGGAGCTCTTTTCTTTGATAGCAGGCAGTGCAATCATGTGATGAATGCAAAATCAGGTGTTTCCTGTCAGATCTCCTGCCAGGACATTGTACTGCTTGGTTTGAATGGTTTCACAGGATAGTATGGCTGTGCTTCTCTATACAAGACATAATTCTATCAAGCTGGGTTTCCCCAATATCATTGCAAATCATGCTTTTAATATTATTGGTAATATCACCAGAGGGTTTGTCTCACCAACAGAAAAATACCGCAAAACATGAAAATGATGTTGCTTTGCCGAGGTAAAAAAGTTAAGCATTACAGAATTAATAAATATATATATATATATAGTAATGTACATAAAAATATAGTATTGTTAATATATATTTTACTACATTACTTGTTATACATATTATATCCAGGATGTTAATGCAATTAACACAAATTCTATATGTTTGTGTGTGTGTGTGTGTGTGTGTGAGAGAGAGAGAGAGAGAGAGAGAGAGAGAGAGAGAGG